AGGATCATCTTCAAGAAACACCTATGAACTTGTCCTCTTGCACACAACACGTTCCAACCATTCGACGTTGGGATGCAGCAGCAGCGTGTAAAACGTATAGGGTACTGTCTGTGCCGTTGTTCATTCATCGATTTGAGCGGTGGACACCTTATTATATTGAGCAACCAAACGCCATCAACACGGACTCGCAGCAAATATCTAGCAAACACGCTACGCATTTGACGTTTCCATATATCGATGCATAGTCAGTCGCTCAGTCATCGTTGCATCCAGGTCCAGGACTACCTGTAGAAGGGCTCGAAAATTAGATACCATAGCTTGGCGCACGTACGTAAGCTCATGAATGGCCAAAGATACTCAACTGGGCGCTCACTGGTACACAACACTTGACAAGCAACTACTTGGTCGGATCAACTGAACCCTACCGCGGAAACATACAACTGCGTGCCTACCGACAATACTCCATAATTGACTCGGGACATCCAGATGATGGTAGAGTCTTGCGGGCATCATTTCAGCGCCATGACGGCATCGGGCATCCGTGAAAGGTGGGCAGATGAGAAAGTCGGAGTTTACTCCGATGATACCCTCTCCCTCCCATGGAGCCACTATCTTGACGATCAGCCCTTGTTTCGCCCCCAAAAACATGATTAAGAAACAAGCAGACCGATCATCGGCCCACCTAGAAAGCCACCATGCACTCATGCACGACACAACCGCCCCTCGGAAAGAGCGCTGCATGGGAAAATATCCATCCCAGAAACACCGACGATAACACCGCGGTCAATATAACCTTTCCGAAAATTCATCGCGATAGGTGGTAGCACTCGAGCAAGGATGAGAGTCAGTCTCCAGCATCGGATGGTCACACCCAGGCTCGTGGGAGAGGAAGAAAAACGACCCCCACCCTCCATCCCCCCCGGACCGCCGAGAGAGGAAGAGAGAAAGACCGGGGACCCGGACTCCACCCCGAACAACACCGGCATCGCCGACATTTGTCCTTTTTTCTCCACATCCGGCCGAATCATTCCCCCCTCTCCCAGGACTCAAGCGCAGAAAGCAACACCTTCCAAAAATTGCGGCAAATCTGCAGAGTCGGCCGAAAGAGTCAGGCGAGTGTGCCGCAAGTGCGTGGCAGGCAGGCCACAACGTGGTAGTATCGTCAAAGATCAGATCCCGAAATGAGACTCTGTAATCATACCTCGACAGGCTCATCACATCCCGAGAACCAGTTCTATTGTTCCCCCTCCTGAATGGCAACACCTTGCGACACGTATTTCAAATCGCAGTGTATCATTTGCTCGAGTTGCTTTCCCGCTTTTCCAGCCTCTCCAATAAGTCTACCTACCCACCTACCTTATGGTATAGGAATGCCGCTACAGTCTGCTTGGTACTATACGATAAACCGAGACTACCCTATCTCGCATCTATAACATCCCGCAGCTAGTTACAGACATAGACCAATTACACCAGACCTTTCCTATCCCACCTATCACCGAGAAAACCCAAGGTAATCTTATCTACCTACACAGCATCAAGGAAAAACGACCACCTTCACCTTAGCCCATGCACTAAGAACATCGTGCTGACTAGGCAAAACTCCCCGAACAACACCCAGATGCCAGATAACCTGAGAGGTAGGTACTTTACAAACATTACTTACCTACCTAGGTGCCTAAGTAGGAACCCAATGGAACGCCTTCACGAACACGACTCAAAGTGCCCCGCGCCTCACGTCATCTCACGCAATCACGCACAATCTAATCCATCTCATCACACTAGCACAAGACCCCCTCTACACACTACCATCGTCGCTCACGCGGCCACGGCGTCAAGTGCGCTTCAGCCGCCGCATCCCCCTCACCACCACCACTGACCACACATACACGCTCATCGGTCAGGTTCACCTCGAACACCCGCACCCTAAATCGATCATGCTCACCTTTGCCCAGCCCCAGCCCCCAAACCCAGGCCACTCACTCAGTCGCTCACTCATCACACTCACTCTCACCCACTCTCACCCACTCACACCTACCGCACACCTTTCCTCACCTCACCTCGATGGAGAACAAATAGTAAAAAAAGTGTTCCCACCTTGGAGCATTCCGCCGCACCGTACCTACATTACGTGCCTGACTTGCGTGATACTAGTCCCGGAATCCGGCATCACACACACACTCACAGTCTCACGCACATCATTTCACAGCGTACGGAGTACTGGAACCTGCGTTAAGCTCACCGCCCTTGCCTTGCCCCTCGCCCCTCGCCCCGATCACTTGGGACCATCGTCGCCTACCCATTCGCTCGTCACCGTCGTCGTCACGTATTTCTCGGGTCAAGACGGTGGTCTACCTTACCTCACTCCTCGCCCCACCTTCTTAGAAGCTCCGTCATCATCGGCCTCCATCACGAGACCTCGACTCGTTCCCAGACCATCCGTCATCGCGCACCCATTCAACCCCATTACGATACCCATTCACACCTTTGAATCACCACCATCTCACAGGACAAAGTCCCCCTATCACGAGCCTAAGCACATGACTCGGAAGACAATAGCAGCCTCACTTTGACTATCATCATGAAAAAGAGAACCGGCTAGAATGTGACAATTCCGTGATAGAACTCCCATTGCCGAAGATCTACCTGCCTGCCTGTCATACACAATCCGCACGCCAACGTCATCAAATACCCCGGCCTCAAGCAAGCATTGCTAGCCTCGGCCCCATTCGAACCGAAGTGATGCTGGGGCCCTGCCGAAATGTCACGATCCATGGGGACCAAAAACCCCAAGATTGAAGAAACCCCCCCCACTCAGCGCATGTTTCTATCAGCCACTAACCCACTGCCGTAATTCTCCCGCGCCCGCTGGGAAACAAAAAGCCTGGAACGCGAAAATGACACGGAATGGAGGACCTAATCCAACGGTCTTATCCAGGAGACTGGTAGAGAAAGGGCTTGACTGAATGGAAATGGGGATACCCTGAAAAGGACCATTCAACTTGAACGGCCGCACTACTGGACGGACAAAATTGACCCAGGGGATCAATTGCTGACAAAGTCATCTAACCTTGCACTCACTTGACTTCCCCAACGCTGTGTAACACACAGTAATCAAAAGAGTCCTTCACTTGCACCTGTAAACCGTAAAACCAACCTTGCAAAAAGTTCTAGACCAAGTCAGCATGGAGAACGAGGACATGAAGCGGCACAGCAAAATAGCCCTCCCCGACAAACGATGGTCCAGAACCTCGAAACAATGCACACACACATCCCATTGGTCGTCTGTTCATGGTGTGCCATTTAATATCGAGATCCTGCTGTAACCTAACATCCTGTTCATCATTACCCATTCGTTACCTATACAGCAAAGGACCTTAAGTCTGCACTCTGCCTGCCGAAAGCCGCCAAACTGACCCCCGCGGGGGAGATGGATGGAAGGAAGCAAGGCAGGCAAGAGAGTGAGAGAGAGAGCAGCTCTCCTCAATCACACAAGTCCATCCTCTTATCACGGCATTCCCAGACTTGTCCATCCGTGGGAATCCTAACCCTCCGTCGTCACACCTTTCAAGTCTCGCGTCGAGCGCGTCTCTCTTTCTTCCTCTTTCTGCCTGTCCCTAACTCGCCCGCTTACCTTACCTGCACTGATTGTTACGCTGGCACTCCCGACTCCTCGAGTCAGTGCCGCACATCGCCAGGCCCCGCCCGTCCACTTCACGATCCGGGGAAGACCGCACCGCAAAACACAGTGATCGACATGTGTACGTCCGGGGGAGCAACATTGCATGTCGTCAAGTCCAAAGAGGTCTGGCGCGCGTGTGTGGATCGGAACGATTGGGGTCCTTTTCCCCATCTCCGAGATGCCCATCCCATTCACCTCGGCTTTCCGTCATTGAACTCGGCGGTGCCGATCAATTGAAAGTCAGCTCGACGCGATTCTCACACAATTGCGACAATCCCAAGTGTATCTGCCAAGATTGTTCCCTTGTTCGGATGATGGACCATGCTGTTTGTGGTTTCAAAAGAATATGATATTGTCCCTTTGGGAGGAGGGGGAGTACTGTATCCGCCATGTACCTCCTCTGGGTTAAATGTGAAATACGCGCCCAAATACTAGATCCGTGATGCCCTTGATACTAGCTATTCCCGGTTTCCGTAGATGCTTTGTCCTTCTATGTATGCTCAGATGGCCTTTGAAGAACCCGTCATGTGAGATGATGATGTGCCCCCAACAGAGAGTTGTGGCAATGAGTGATGATGAAAAAAACAACAGTAGCCCCCGTCAGGAATTGCCTTCCAAACCCGCAACACGGAGTATCTCGTAGAAACCTCCGTGTGCTTTCGTTGGGTAAGGCGTAGTGAACCAAACGGGTTTCGCTGCAAAACCGAGACAGGATTAACCATCCCCAAATCGCTTTACCAAATGCCCATTAATGCCCATGCCCCATGTCAATGCAACCCCCAACTTTTTTGTGATCCTGCCCGAATTTCCCCTCCCTCACATGACCGAAGCCATGGCGTTTCGCAGCCCAAAAAAACAATCGTAAATGCGCAAATGAAGCCCCCACAAGTCGCAATGCTAGTCTCTCTGCCGAGACGCCATACTTCATATTTCGTGGGGTTGATTTGCGGGGGGGCATCAGAGGGGGTAATGGGACGGTCAGGGAGGTGTACGGATGAGTCGGAAAGGTGACATCCGGAAGGCCATTATGAGAAAGAGAGAGATAGAGCTTGAGATGGTTCATCTCCCCTTGTCGGCTCATCACCTCCGTGGTTGCCCCCGCGTTTTCCGGTGTTCGAAATCGACGCTAACCCCGCGCTCTGGGGCTGGGATTATACAGGCGAGGACGAGAGGGGAGACCCGTCAAACCCGCCGAGCGCACGCACACCGTCATTCCCGTGGGGTGACGAGGTGTTAGTCCTCCCCGTGCGGTTGTGTAATGGTTGACTGAACCAGGTGAATGGCGGTGCAGCCTCCCGACACGGTCCCCGTCTGGCGGTGTCTAGCGACCGACCATGGGCGTTACCAACTCAATGCTTTTCGGCCTTGAGTAGCCTGGCCCAGTGGGTCTCCGCGTCGGTAGCGGCCGATCCATGCCACTGGAGCTGTAGTTGTAGGCGTAGCCATTCGCTGCGTAGCCTCCGTCGTACGTGGCCGGGAAAAAGCTGTTGCTGCCGCGGTTGTACGAAGTGCTGGGGCTGTTGGTGCTGCTCTTGGTAAAAGGCCAGATGCTGGCGTGCGACGATGTGGGAGACGGCGGGCTTGGGGGTCGGATGCTGAGTGACCTCAACGCGGAGATGGCGGACGAGTATTGCGCGCCGGTGGTGGCACCTGGTGTCGTGGGCGGCGAGAAGTGCATCGAGTTCGGCCTTGAGGGGGACGCACGAGGAACAATGTCTCTAGGCTCGGGGTTGCATGCGGCGTAGAAAGGGTAGTTACCCATGTGCGGTTGGCTCATAGTCCTGCCAGTTGATGCAGTTTGCTGATCATGCTTGCGGCATCTGCGTAGTGTCAGTATGTCATTCCTTTCGTTCTAGGACATTCACTTGAAAGTGGCAGCTTACGATTCTGAGCAGTACAGGAACCTGTCATCTTGAGGTACGAATTGCTTTTCGCAAGTCATGCTAGATCACACGGCCCAGTCAGCGAATTGTTCAGTCAATAGGGTGGGAACAATGGCTCGAACGGGAATTTGAGTGCGAAGACACCCATCGGAAGAATAGCAACGCGCACTACAATGGGCGTCCATCGTGACACTGCAGACCTCCCGAACGGGATGACAATCTGCAACAAAGATTGGATGACGGACAATGTTGCAAGACGGTTTGTTGCGGGGTTGACAATCTAGAACATGGCGGCGTCGAAGAGCACTCATGTCCAGATCGGGGAGTAAGAGGTAAGAGTGAGAGTGAGAGTGAGAGAGAAATGTCGAATGCGAACAGTGAAGAAAAGAAAAGAAACTGTCGCAGCAGACTTACCAGAACTGAGGAAAACTCTCCCGTTCATCGTCCCACGAGTCTTGCTGTTCCCGTTCCCGTTCCCGGTCTCTGGGGTTCTTGCCCAACTTCTGGGGAGTTTGGCGTCTGGTGAGAGTCGAAGGACGCTTGCCGTAGCGGGAGGGATCGGTAGCTGTGACAGTCTTCTCCGTCATGGAGGTGTTGCCCGACTTTCTGCGGCTGTGATGCATTGTGAAATCTTTCTCTTGGCGTATGTATGTACGACTGAGAGAAAGGGATCTGGGGAAGGGGAAGATCGAGAGAAGAAAACAACAAGCCAACGATGCGACGAGGTTGGCAGGGGTTCTTCTTGTAGTCTATCGCTCAGACTCTCGCAGCTCACGCTCACAGTTAGTTTCCGAGTCCTCAGTCTCAGTTGGTTGTGTTTTGGTGCCTGTATCGGCGGATGGACGGCGGGACGATATAAGCGGGGAATGGCGGGTTTGGTGGAGGGGTAGCGCCGTTCTATTCCCCCAAGAAGCGATGATTGACGAACAACAGCGCGTAGTGCCACTGCGGTTGCGAACGTCCGTCCTGTCTCGGCCGTCGGGTTTGGCAGAGGCGATGGTGAAGCAGCGTCGGACGAGGGAAGAAGATTTCCGAACCCTTTTCTTCTGCAACAGTGAAAATTTTTCGCAACAGTCGGTGAGATGTGAATCTAGACTGCTTGTTGGTGGCCTTGTATGGGAATGCAGGAAATTGGTCCCTGCTTTCACGCGTTCCGAGTGGCAAATTCGAAGCCCTGGGCTGAGTGAACGAACAGGTAAAGGTAGGTAGAGTGGTGGTCGGCTGTGACTCCGTGTGTCTTGTCCGCCCGCTGAAGAGATTTTTTCTTCTTCTCCGGTCGTTGGTCTTCCCCCGCAGGTCAGAGCGGGTGCTGGGAGGATTAAGAAGGGTCTCGAGCTATCGCAATGTGCAGGGGACGCCTGATGTGGTATGCCTTATTTCCAGTAGCTAAGGCGTCTTGGTGATGGATTGAAAGATAGCGGCGGGTTTGGCTGGGGGGTGTTGTGGGAGTGGATATGTATGTATATTTGGCCGAGAGCTGATAAGTGATGGATTGCCTGTGGGTGATGGCTGATGGATGGATTGTGGTGCGGGTTTGTGACCGTGACCGTCGCCGTGACCGCGATTGATACAATGCTCCAGATGAAAAACTTGTAGAGAGAGCCCGTGTTCCTCCTATCAGGCCAGTCGGAAGTTTTTAATGCAAGAGACAAGTCTAGGAATGAGAGACACAGAGAGAGAAGAGAGGTGTGTCCAAGGCAGGATAGGATAGGCCAAGATGGGATGGGATGGGAGGTCAAGGGAATAAAAGAGGCGTGCCGCCAGTCCAAGCAGGCCTGATGTGGTGCTACAAGCTTGCAGGAAGGATTGGCCGGATGTGATTTTTCTAGAGGGCTAGCTCGGCTGAGGAGAGACTGAGAAGAGTACCTGCGCTGACGGTTGCTATTACCGTGCTAGGTAGGTATCTTTGGTGAGACCCGACGAGGTGGGTGGTGTGAGAGACTCAGACTCAGTAACAGGATAGGTGTGCGGGTTGAGTCTCTAGGCTCAGAGTGAGAGAGAGTGTGTGAGAGACTGGGGTTGACTTGCACCAGCGTGGGTTTGTTTCTCGCTCCAGGGATAATCGGGGTCTGCAGGTCAAGTCTAGGTACAGTCGGAACTAGGAGGTACTCTGCTAGTTGCAGTACAATGTTTGCTGCGGCCTGGATCTTTCGAGGAATTAATTAAACAGCTCGTAGGAAGCACGATGACGCCAGAGTCGAGAGCGAGTGCGGGGACCAGGGCTGGCTAGCTCCAAATTGGCCCGTTGTCCGTCTTCCGTTCGGGGGTGGGAATTTGCGAAAGAGAGATGCGATTTGTGTATCAGCAAGGCGAAAGCCGAGCAGCAGGTGTGTGAGTGTGAGGTAGTTTGCCCTTTCTAGGTGCTCGGTAGAAGGGACGACGGATCCTCAAGTGGATTGAGACGATATAGAGCCAGACTGACGTAGTGATCACTCAGTCAAAGAAGAGATTGCCGAGGAAATGTCAAGGCGAGGAGACAGAGAGCAATTGGCGACAGGTGAGGCTGCTGGAACCGGTACAGCATTGGAGCCGGGAAATATATGTAGACCCGCAGACGGTTGGTTGGACTCTTCGAATAGTGTTCAATGGCTCTTCTCTTGTTTGAATGAATGGAGCCCGATCGAGTGTGACTCTTTCCGTTGCCGTCCTTACTTGTCACTCCCTTGCAAGTTGATGGATGGATATTCTTTTTTTTTTTTTCCCCCTTGTCTACCCTCTGTGGATTTTTCAACCCGGTACCCAGACAAGCCGCAAAGACGCAAGGTACCTCGGATTGACGCAAGGACAGGCAGGGCCGTGGGCTCGCCGAAAGCGGAGATGCTGTGGTGCGGACGGACCTCCAGCTTATGAGATGGATCAAGCGCCGCCGATTCGTCCGTCGTCTCAACTCTGCCGATGACAGCAGCGAGAATGCCACCCAAACCGTATGGGTATGGGTGCTGTAGCTTGTAATTGTGTGTGGTTACAGGTGTACCGAGTAGTAACGACGACCGGAGACTAGACACCCTGATGAACCCTCTCGTGCTAAGAAGGGTATGGCGTGAGGGTCTTGATCTGCTTGTGTCCGAACGAAGCGGTGGGAAGCAAGGGCAGCAAAGCTAGGAATGAGCTCTCTGGCCTTTTGCTGGATAGCCGCTGCTTCTGTATGAGGACTGGCGGGTTGGCTGTTGCGTGTGAGACCGGAGAATAAAATGTCGTTCTTTGTAGTCTGTGTGCAATGTGTATGCAGCCGTGTCTTTTTTCGTATCCCGAGCTAATTTGGTATGGAATTCCTTTGGAAAAATGTCTTCTGGCGCAATATCTTTTTTTTTTTCTCCGTCCCCTCGGCTTCGTTTCTTGTCTAGCCGCTGCGATTTTTTTTTTTCTTCTTAACTCTTCACCGACTTATTGACGTGGTTGAGAAAACGGGTTCGCTAGCGAAGAATAGAAAATTGCCTTTCTTTTCAGATCGAGATTCTAGATCGGGGTCCGAGGTTTATATCGCCGTTGCCTTCTCGTAGTCACGGGGATTATGGCATCAAAGAAGCCAGGCTTCAGTGTCTGTACTTCGTACCTCAGTGGGGAGGATTGCAGGCCTGCGATGGACGGGGGAAGCCTGTCTAATTCCCTCTCTGCGGGCGGCTCACTCGTACCCAGAAGGGTAACCCGGGACCCTTGTCGTCGGCGACTGTGTGAGAAGTTGAGAAGTCAGAAGAGCTCGTTGCGTGCGTGGACACGAGTGGGTACCAAGTACGCAGTTTGTGGTCCGGACAGACTACTTAGCGAGACGAGGGGGATGTGCGGACCAGGGCAAAGCCGCAAAAGACCAAGCAGGGCTTTTAATAGTGCAAATATGGGGAAGTCCAAAGAGAAGCAGAGGTTGATGCACGATGCTGCCGAGAGAGAAGTCTGGGGGTGAAGCCAAAGTTCCCTAGTACCTGCCCTGTCTGCCTCGTCTACCTGACCTCAGTGCCTACCTGCCTGCGTCGCCTCGTACCTAGGAGTGCATCGCAATGTAAGGCAGGCACTTTCCTTCGTACTTTCCTTTACGTACATTCATTCCTTCCTCCTCGACGTTCTCGGGCTTGAATTATGTAAGGCATTACACGTGCAGTACGGAGTACGTGAGTACGTATCTACCAGAGTATTTCCAAGGTACCTAGGTACACTTGGGTTTCCCAAACAGCAGCGGTGAACGGTGAATGGTGAATTCGTGGGTGCAATTACGAATTTACCAGATACCTTCCTTGGAGTGCTTGGGTGTGTTTGGGTGGTGGCCAAGCATCCACCATTACATGATGGAAACTAGAATGCCAGAATGCCAGGTACAGCTGCAAGAAGGGCATCCAATGCCTACCGGAGTGTACTCCTAGAGGCACCACCACAAGATCACTAGACCATAGGACCCTCTCTGAGACGATCGACAAGGGGACTGGGCGGCCCTGGTGTTCTGTTCTGCACCTCTGCACGGAGTACCTACACTACGGTACATACCTGCTGGACACAGGATGACAAGATCCAAACCCTATGGCACGCAGACTGCAAGCTACCTGCTTCGCCTATGGGAAGCCGAGGACAAGGTGCGAGCGATGTGAGGTGTGACCAGGTGACTGGCCATGCGAAGAGCTAACAAGAGCCAGGTCTGACGCGAACGAGGGGGGCTCAGTTGTCGTCGAGCCACGGCGATGCATCATTTTCGCCATTCTGTCATCAGCTCACCCCATCGGCCCCGGTGCCTCTTTCATGCCGCCCTGGGCCATGACTCTAAGTCTAGAGCCCTGGCTATGTGCCGAAGCCCTCTTCTGAGCATCTTATTCTGTTGCGTCCGTCTGTACTCGATATACATTACAGTACCAAACTTGCATCATAACGACACCTTGTTAGCTAATAAGTTCAAGATGGCATCGACGTACAACCCACCATTCCGCCTTATGTAATAAACTATCCAGGGAGCAGGTAAGAAACATTGCTCTTGGACCGATACCTCATGCAGCGGCCGCTCGAAACCTCTACGGCCTCGGTGCGGGCTGCCTCAGACACGCAATGTACCGGTCCACGTCAGATCGAGCCAAGAGGTACATCACACGCCGGGCCGTCCAAAGTCCTTGGACGAAAGAAACAAGCACTTGATGCGCGTGGAGAACGGAACTTTCTGCGGGAACAGAAAAAAGCGGGAAGAAGTATACAGAGCCACCACTAAAAGAAGAACATCAGAAAGGAACACCCGTGAAACCGAGACTTTTTTTCTGAGCCAGTGAAGCGATCACGATCTGATGGTTTCTGGGCTCCATACGCATGAACACTACGACTTTACAATTCCAAAGGGCTGCTGCCGTCTCGGGGACAGCCAGTCGGCTCGCTCTGCTGTATGCAACGTGCCTCGCTGCGTACCCCGTATTATGGAGAGCTTCGACTGCATGACCAGCGAAACAAGACACGCCGTCACGACGAGGGTCCAGGTACCTTGCAGCGGCAACAAACTCACAGGTTGGTACGCCGATTTGGTGGATGCCCGTCTACGAATACTGAGTATTAGTAGGTGTACGTGGACTATATTCACTAACAGCGTACAAGACCATAGTCAACGTGTTTTTGGTACGGCACTTCTTAGCCAGCTTCTACATCGGGGATGGCCAATGAGGTA